TTCAACACACACACACACACACACACACACACACACACACACACACACACACACACACACACACACACACACACACTTGAGAACGAACCTGGAAACCCATGACCTAGCAGTACTTTCTGTTGTTTCCTGGCCAGAGGTCCTTGAAATCTGCCTGGAGACCCAAGCAGTCAAGTTAGGCTCATTGGGATCAGGCCTTATTAATCCTGTCTCACACAAATGACTAGCCTCCTGACCTAGCACACATCAATACTTAAGAAACTGCCAATGATTTGAATGAACATCAGATCCTCCTAAAGGTTTATCAGGTGTTCTCAATGGGGCACTGCTGGGCCAGGGAAATAGCCTTGAGAGCCCCTATACTTTCCAACTTGACCAGTGGAATTGAATTCCATGCTTGATTCCAGAGTGGACTTTTTATTTTAAGTTGACCATATGTAAAAGTCAGGGCAAAGAGACTCAAGTCTGTCTGTCTCTTGACTGGGGCCCGACGAATTTCCATACACGGTTCACACAACCAAAAGTCCCCATGGGCTAATGTCACGAGAGTTCTGAGTGTTGGGATAGAAGGAAAGAAGAACAGTGGAAGTGTGGGAATATGTCTGTTTTCCAAAAAGGAAAAAGAAAGGAAGATTTCCCGCCCCAAATGGTACCCTGGGGACAGCTTGCCTGGTTATGTGATATTTACTGTATTATTTCTGTTCTGACTCTGCACATTTGCGACTAGAAGGAGCCTGGTTAAGAGCTTGAATTGTATTTTGCTCTGGTTTGGGGTCTTGCCCTCTTCCAAGGGACCAGCAAGTTTGTGATAATGTCTGTGTTCCCCCAGCAGACCAGCAAGCCTGGGCTAGTGTTTGTCCAGCCACTATGGGCCAAAGCCCTGCCCCTGGTGAAGCTTTTCCCAGGCCCCAGGGACTTTGTTCTGTGGTTGACAACTTCTTCTCTTCATTGGGGAGAGAAGCTGGGATCTTCCCAAGAGACCTGAAGGACTGCCCACTCTTGGTTGTAAATCCTCTAGATAGCTGCTTCACCTGTTTAACCAGGCCCGGTGCTGGGCTGGGAGGTCCTGGGGTCTGCTCAGCTCCCACAGAAGCTCTTCCTGAGGCTTGAGTTGCTGATTCATATAAAAAAGCCTTGGCAGAAGGTGGAGAGAGAAGTCTGGCCTGGGTGAATGATTTAACAGCCTGCCAAGGGTGTTCTGAAGGAGCTGCTGCTTTTCCAGCGGGCTGAAGGGAATCTGACACGCTGCTTCTTTCCACAGCTCGTGGCATATGCCCCAGACCTTTGCTAGATGGCCTTGAACTTGACTCCAGCACTGGCATCTTTTCATCTGCCTGTGGTGTGACTTCATGAGGAGAACCAGCCCGCTCCTTCTGGCGAGGAGTTAGGTCTATGAGATCCATCACTAAAGCAGCTCTGTGCTTTGACTGAGTGTTCTGGTCCACAGGCCTCAGTGCCTTTTCTTTAGCTACCAGAGACTGGACCACAGCTGATAGTACTTTCTCAGGAGGTGGAAGTCTCTGGGTCAAAGAGGCATGGGATTTGTCTGGTGGCTTGTCAGAAATCTGGGGTTTGGGACTGCTGGTGGTCAGCAGTCTGTCTGGTGGTGAAAGTCTCAGGCCAGTGGGGCCTGGGGTTTTCTCCACTGACTGGGACTTTGGGCTGGCAGCACCTATGGATTTATCCAGCCTTGGGTCAATCATTCCCAGAGGTTTTTCCAGTGGCAGGGACCTGACTAAGGGTGAGGAGCTTGACTTGGTCATTGGAGAGGCTTTGTCAGATGGCTGAGGTCTTGGTCCTTCTTTAGCAGGTGGCCTGTCCTGTGGCCTCTGGCTGGATACCAAGGACTTGGATTTGGTCCCTGACCCAGCAAGGTCTCTGACCCTATCTAAAAGGTGGGAACTAGACTCAGTTCTCTCAGGTCTTTCAGGTAGCAGTGGCCTCTGACAAGTCCCTGTCAGAGCTTTTTTGGAGACTGGCAGCGTCTGGGTAGCATCAGCAGGTGGCTGATCAGACATCTTGGGCCCTTGAGTAGCCATCCCTGATGACTGCTCTGTCAGTTGAGTGCTGGGACTTGGAGGCAGTGGCACTGGGGGAGGCACATACTCACGGATCTCCCCTGGTTCCAGAGGGTTGGGCCCACAGGGGTCATGTTCAGTACAAGACAGACGCCCATCGAGCTTGGAAATGAAAAGCATCCCTTCTCGATGCTGCTTGCAAAAGGAGCTGGGGCACATCTCACAAAAGGAGGCTGCTTCCTTCCCACATACGTCACACTGGTGCCAAGGACACTCCCATTTCCCTGAAAACAAGAGTGAACAAAGGCTTAGGGAAAATAGATGCATGTGAGATGAGCCATGCTCTGAGACTGGTCCACAGGAGTGGCTGCAAAGCCTCCTTCAAACTGCCACATTCTTCAGAGTTTGTGCCACTCACCTGCCATTACTCCTTCCCCAGAATTTCAGCTTCCTCTTCTGCACAAAACAATATATAAAATAACAGCAAAGAATCAAGGTTGAGTAACTAAGTATCAACTACACACAAGCAAGAGACTATTTCTAGCAAGGGCTGTACAGTAGGAAAACAACCAAATAAACCCCAAAGTTCCTCTTAGATGAAACAATTATTACTACTTCTGCATTTTTCACAAATTCTGTTTGTCCTAAAAGAGCTTTTATTATTTAGTTTGTTTTGTGTTATTTGAGATAGGGTCTCACTATGTAGCCCAGGGTTGCCTTAACTTACAGTTCTAGGTTTATCACCATGCCCAGATCTAGACAGCTTTTAAACATCCAAGTCAAAGAGGAACATTCCAGCTTTTTAACATTCTTGCTTATTTTGTTTTCAACAGAAATAGGATAAATACACATAGTTGCAAAAATAATAAGGGAAGCCGACTACTCACCTTTGCTGAATTTTAAGTCTTGAAACCAGCACAAAGCTTTATCTGGATTGTCCATGTAGAAATAGGGGAAGACCTAAAACTAACCTAAACTTGTATCTATTTCCCCATGAAGCACATGAGTGTTCCCACCTCCAAATAAACTAGGCTAGAACTCACTGATGGAACACAAGCAAGATCATGCCAGTCCTATCCTGTGCCATGAAACAAAGTGATTCTAAAATGATCCCATTTCTGCTTCCTGGTACTGGCATTTCAACACAATGGCTTTGACCACCTTCTCTACTTGACTTTCTGTTCTAGCATGACCCTGGACTATACAAACTGAAAGAAAATCAATTCAGAAACACACTCCACGGACTCCTTCAGTTCTCCACTTTGTCTACATTTTGGAAGCAGGCATTAGTGATGTGTATTTATTAACATCCCTTTAAAATAGTTCCATATGCATCTGTTGTTCGTACTTTACAATAGTTAGCCTGTTCAAACGGCTAAAATCCTAAGACCCACATCACTGCCCAAAGGATATCAACTTTTCCCAAGACAAATTCCTGGTTCCCTCATCTACCTGAGCAGCTGTCTTATGTGTAAACTGACACAACTACTTCATCTACAAAGAAAAAGTCTACACTGCAGGGTAGGAGACTCCTGCAGGGTTGAGAGAAACTGTAGGTAAAAGGTTGTTGACCCAGCTTTCAATGACTTGCACATCTAAAGTCCTATTATGCCTTACTCTTCCTTTGGAAAGGAAACATGATTTAATGTCCTTAGGGTCAGAACACCTGCCTGTCTTTCCATGCAACTCTTACAACTATCTGCAACAAGCAATCTCATCAATCTTTATTTGCCTTTTCCTCATGCACATATGGACAGAAAACAAATCTTTATTGCCAAAATAAAAACATGGACCAGATCCCAGATCCCTCAACAGTTGACATGTGCTCACAAATAGCATTCTCTTTCAGACTGAAGCAAGTGGCATCAGATCCTGAAAACTCTGACAGAGAACAAGGAGTGCTCTAAATGGACTTTGGCACCAACCTGCTGGTCGCTTGGTCAGATTGAGACAGTCGGCATGATAAACTTTTGGGCAGCCTGGCTTCTTGCAGGAGACGAGCTGACCAGCATCCCCACAGCTGAAACACTCATCCTCTCTTTCCTTTGTGACTTCACCCTGGCTCCTGCGCTTCCCATGTTGCTTCTTCTTGAATTTCCTTGACTTTTCTTCCGTGACAATGGGTTGATTCTGGAGGCCAGATATTGATCAGTCAACAACCTATCAACTCAGGTATGCAAATTTTATTTTGGGGTGGGGGGGGTTTCGAGACAAGGTTTCTCCGTGTAGTTTTGGTGCCTGTCCTGGATCTCGCTCTGTAGATCAGGCTGGCCTCGAACTCACAGAGATCCACCTGGCTCTGCCTCCCGAGTGCTGGGATTAAAGGTGTGTGCCACCACTGCCCAGCTTATTTTAAGTAAAAATTTTACTCCATCCACTTTACTCCATCCACTTATTGTGTGTGTATGTGTCTGTGTATGGGCACAAATGTACCATGGTGTTTTTGTGTGTGTGAAAATCAGAGGACAACTTGAAGGACTCGGTTCCCTACTTCCTTCCACCTTGAAGTTTTTGGAGACTGAATTCAGGTCATTAGGCTTGGCAGCCAGGCATGGTAGTGCATGCCATTTGGGAGGCAAAGGCAGGTAGATCTTTATGAGTTTGAGGCTAGCCTACTCTACATAGTTAGTTCCAGGATAGCCAGACCTACATACTGAGATCATGTCTCAAACAAACAAACAAAACAAAACAAAAAAGAAAAAGAAGCCATCAGGGGCTTGAGAGATGGCTCAATAGGTAAAGGCTGTGGTCTTCAAGGCAGCGCTCACATGATTCCCGTAGGTTGTCTTCTAACCACCCTATAACACTCACACATATGTTATATGTATGTACACATATATGTTTTGTATGTACACATACAAAATAAATAAATCTAAGAGAAAAACAAATGAACAAACAAAAAACAACAACAACCAAAAAAATCCTTCAACGAAAAACAGCAGCCAGGGATGGGGTTGCACACTTGTAATCCCAGCACGTAAGGGGCAGAGCCAGGAGGACAGACTCAAGGTCAAGGCTACGCTGGATAAGACAGAGTCTCTTTTAAAAAAGAAAAAGGGGTAGGAGGCACTGGAGAGCTGCACTGGCTAGTCTTCCAGAGGACTTGGGTTTGATTCCACAAGGAGATTCACAACTGTTTCTAAATCCAGTTCTAGGGGCTCCAATACCCTTGGTGGTCTCTCGGGATACTGCTTGCACGTGATACAGACATCTACACAGGCAAAACACACACACACATAACATAAAGGACAAATCTCCTCAACAGTTACAGCACTGTAACTCAGTTAAACGTACATAAACACAGGGAGATACAATAATGATTCTACTTTGTTATAATAGGGAGATTAAGTTTTTTCTCTCTATATATATATTTTTGGTGGTGAACCCATGGCTTAGCATGGGCCAGGAAAGCATCCTACCACAGAGCTACATCATTAGTCCAATAATCTATATCTATCTATGGTACTATAGTATAATAAACTCTACTGATGCCTCTAGAAAAAGACAACCACACACCTGGGAAATCTAAGTAGCTTAGTAGAAGGTATGAGGTAAGCTGAGACCACAAAGTAACCTACTTCACAGTTTTTATTTTGTAGCCTTTTTTTTTTTTTTTTGGCTAGAAAAGTACTATTAAGTCAAAATTACTCAAAACACTACAGCAATACCAACTAGATCACGAGACTGCTCAGTAAACTGTCAGTGGTACTAGTGATAATCAATTCCATTTTTCCAAAGAATAGTTTCTTACAATAAAGACTCATCCCTAGCACTGTCTCTAAGAATGGTACGAGGAAGACATACCATTGTTGCTAATATAAAAGTTTAGAAAGTGGTACCTTTGGCCTCACACCCAAGAAGCCACTGCAGTTCGGGGCTCCACATTTGCAGACAGTTTTTCCATTCCCAAGACACTCTAGGTTGTAATTGAAGGTAAGTTCAGTGCCTGCATAAAGACCACAAAAATATTAACATATATGGTTATATTATTTGTTAATTATAAATGACAATAACTTCTAATTGAATAATTTTACTTTTATTTATTGTTTGAAACAGGGTCTCTCTTTATAGTCCTGGCTGTCCCAGAAATAAGAGATCCTCCTGCCTCTGCCTCCTGAGCGCTAGCATTAATGACATTCTCACCCAGATGTGGTAGTGCATAACTTTTAACAAAATTTAAATTTGTGTTATTAATTATCTAATGTAACAGATTTTAACCCCCCCCCCCAACCCCATATAAGGTTCCCCTGTGTAACAGCCCTAGCTGTCCTGGAACTAGCTCTGTAGACCAGGCTGGCCTTGAACTAACTGAGATCTGCCTGCCTCTACCTACCAAGTGCCAGGATTAAAGGCGAGTGCCATCACACCTGGTATATAACAGAAATTTAAGCAGTAAGTGATATTTAAAATAAGTAATATTTCTTTCACTTTTCCATCGTTTTTCAACTATTTAGATTCAAAATACACTAACTTACTAATAAAAGTAAACATACAACTTGATGGTAGGATGTTGGTATATACTGTAATGCCAGCACTCAAAACAGAGGCAGAAGATCAGTGTATAGTGAGTATCACACTAGCACTCAATAGAGTGAGACTACATCTTAACAAAACAGGTCTGAGGAGATGGCTCAGTGGTTAAAAGCACTTGCCATGTAAGCATGAGAGCCTGAGTTTGAATTCTAAGAATCCATCCACATGAAAGCTGAATATCTGAGTGGAGACCGGAGAATCGCCATGAGCTCAAGGGCTATCCAGATTAGGGTAAGCAACAGAGGACCAAAAAAGAAATCCTGTCTCAAAGCAAGGTAAAGGCAGGGACCACCATCTGATGTCTTCTGATCTACACACACACACACACACACACACACACACACACACACACACACTTTTGTCAGTATCCAGGCACGGAATGCAAATTGCAAGAGCCCCTGCCAGTTGTGTGTCCCTGTGAACCTGTGAAAATACCCTGTCTGGCAGCATTCAGGGGAAGAGGCATTTCACTGCAAAGTAATACTATAAGGAGAGTAAGATCACAGATGGGTGATACATACTAGTTATGACATAACCTGGTTAAGGGATCTGAACTTGGAGTAGCTTTATTCATTCAGAGAGAGACAATATCTCGTGTAGACCAGGCTAACCGTAAACCAACAGTGTAGTCTTCCTGTGTCCACTTCCTGAGTACTGAGATTACAAGTATGTGCTATCATAGCAGGCCAAATATCCCATGTTATAAATGGAGAAATACTATCATACATCATCTATTCAGAGAATACAACACAATATCCACAGCAGTATGTAAAGTTTAAAGACCGGTATACAGGACTAGGAGCATAGCTTGCTTGCCTAGTATGTGAGAAACCCTAGGTTTATAACTAGCAAAGCCTCCCCCCAACTAAAAAACAAACAAACAAACAACAACAAAACCAAAATTGTAGTAAATTAATGCACAAAAATGTACTCTTTGAGCTGGGCAAGGTAGTTTATACCTATAATTCCAGAGGTTCAAAGGCTGAATTAGCCCCATCTTAAACAATAACAAATCCCAATAAAGCAAAGAATGAATCAGACCTAACTTTAGTGAATCAGAACTGAAAGGAAATAAAACATAAGAAACACTCAAACTCAAAAGCAGGGAGGCCTAACAGATATGAGAATGTTATATGAATATGAACACATGTATTTTTTATAACTTCACAGCTAACATGCAAGGTTAATCATTCATACTCAAAATCATCAAGTTTCATGAATATTAGTAATTGCAGACCGATATTCTATTTTTTTCCATTTTTTATTTTATGCGCATTTGTGTTTTGCTTGCATATATGTCTGTGTAAGGATGTCAGATCTTGAAATTACAGATAGTTGTGAGCTGCCATGTAGGTGCTGGGAATTGAACCCAGGTCCTCTAGAAGAGCAGTCAGTGCTTTTAACCACTGAGCCAACTCTCCAGCCCCAATATTCTATTTTCTATTTAAAATTTTAGAACATTTGTTTTGTCTGTGTGCATATGAGCGAGTCTGTATGTGTATGTACGTATATGGGGTACATGTGTGGGGGTCAGTGGACAACTTGTGACTTGGTTTTCACACTCTGTGGTCCTGGAAATCCAACTCAGGTCACTAGGGTTGGACAGTAACCTATTTAACCATTTTGGCAGCCCTGATATACATTCCAACAGTGAGACCAAGAAAGAGGGTTTTCAACAGATGCTGGAAATCATTATTTCTTTAGGTGAACAAAATATAAAACCAAGTGACTTAGACTCGTATTGCAGAATTAAGAGTCATATGTAGTTAGATCACTGAGAGGCTGGAAGAAAAACCCCAAACAAACAACAACAAAAAAAAAAACCCCACAAAACCCAAGACCAACCAGGGTTAATAGCAAGGCTGTGGCTCCCACCTCACACTGCCTATAGAATTACTGGTCCAAATATGGGTGATGCTACTTATCCTATTCTCATTTTAACAATTTATATGAGTAGGGGACAGTGGTGTACCACAGTGCAGGAGCAAATGCCTAGCATAAATGAGCTACAAAGCAGGGCATGGTGGCCTACATCTTTAATCCTAGCACTGGAAGACAGAGGCAGAACTCCAAATTCAAGGGTAGCTGGTTTACATAGCAAGTTTCAGGCCAGCCAGAACTACACAGTGAGACTGTCTTAAAACAAAAACAGAACACTAACAAACCAACCCAAAATACAATAGAGGACAGGAGAGATGGTGGTTAAGAGTGTTTAATGCTCTTTCAGAGGTCCTGAGTTCAGTTCCCAGCACCTACACCTAGCAGATCACAGCCACTTCTAACTCTAGCTATTCTAACTCTGGTGCCCCCTCTGGACTCCATCGTCAACCACACACACTTAGACACACACACACACACACACACACACA